GGAGTTTCCCAAATCCCAAATCTTTTGTTCAGTAGGAAAGAAGGATCCTCAATTCTGTTTTTGAAGTAAAGATTTGCTTTTACTAAAGTCAAGCGGTTATAGCATTAGCAAAGCTGGTTCTGAATATTCCTGTACAAAACCTGTGTTTTTTTTCCTCTCCCTCTGGCCCTCCCCCCCCCTTGACCAGTCCATCAGTGGCCAATGATATTTGACTTTGATTTGGGAATGGCTTGAAGGTATGATGCCTCTTTGGTGGAGTTTCACCTTCTGTTCTCACGGCTCTGCCCTTGATCGTCTGGGTCTGTTCCAGATTTACACCTCTGGATCCTTTCATCCTGTCATTCCCCCCCCCACCACCACCTTCCTAACCTCTTTCCCCTCCCTGCATTTTATTGCAGAATGCCAGCAAAGTATGCTAACTGCCAGGGTTCCTGGCAGGACAATCTTCTGAAGGTGAACATGCTTAGACTCAACCCTGACAAGACTGAGTGGCTCTGGGTCTTGCCTCCCAAAGGCCAACTGGATGGTCCATCATTAGTTCTGGGGGGGGGCAAATTTACCTCCCTCAGTGCAGGCACGCAACTTGGGTGTCCTCCTGGACTCACAGCTAAATTTGGAACAACATCTATCGGCTGTGGCCAAGGGGACCTTTGCACAGGTTCGCCTAGTGCACCAGTTGCGGCCTTATTTGGACCGGGAGGCTTTACTCACAGTCACTCATGCCTTTGTCACCTCAAGACTGGATTACTGTAACGCGCTCTACATGGGGCTACCCTTGAAGGGCGTTCGGAGGCTGCAGTTGGTTCAGGACGCAGCCGCGAGAGCGATTGTGGCCGCGCCAAGGTACGCCCACGTGTCACCTATCCTCCGCGAGCTGCACTGGCTTCCTGTGGGTCTCTGGACGCAATTCAAGGTGTTGGTTATCACCTTTAAAGCCCTTCATGGCATAGGGCCAGGTTACTTACAGGACCGCAGTCTGCCGCATAGTTCCCAGAGACCGGTGAGGTCCCATAGATTGGGCCTCCTTCAGGTCCCGTCGGCCAGACAATGTCGGCTGGCGGGCCCTCGGGGAAGGGCCTTCTCTGTGGTGGCTCCGAGTGGAATCAACTTCCCCCCCCGAGGTTCGAACTACTCCCACCCTGCCAGCCTTTAAGAAAGCCGTTAAAACTCTCCTGTTCCGGCAGGCCTGGGGCTGATGTCCCCGGGGGGGGGGGACGGGATATGATCGGACTCACGGTATGACTGTATTATTTTATTGTTTTATGATTGTTTTAACTCTGTACGCCGCCCTGAGTCCTTTGGGATTGGTCGGCATATAAATAAAATTAAATACAAAATACAAATACAATGATTTCCATCGACACTGATGCTGCTACAGCTCAGGAATGAGCGCTTTCCTGGTAGAACATTTGGCTGTTTGAATGAACTTTTCTATTTTGTTCTTAGTCTTTTGTAGAACCTCATCTAGTTCTCATAGAACTTCATACAAGAATGAAGAATCCTAATCTAGTGAATATACAGTATAAAAGATATAATGCCTAAAATATGGTAGATACTTTGTTGTGTCATTATTTTGAATACAACACCAAGTAACATATGATAGTATTCTATAATTAAAAATATTCGCTCTAGTCATAATGGGTAACAAAAGCAATTATCTGAAACCAGAACCATCTCCAAAATGCCTGAGATGATGGACCAAATAAGGCTCCTACATAGGATTTGTCTTAATATGTCACACTGTGGAATGTAATTTATGGCCTTTCAGAATAATTAAAAATTGCAATTTGAGGAATGTGTGTAAAATGTAAAAAATGTAAAGAAATGTTCAACTCTAAAGTCTCAATATGTGTGAATATCTAGCCCAGTGGTGGCAAACCTATGGCATGTGTGCCAAAGGCGGCACTCAGAGCCCTCTCTGTGGGCACACGTGCCATTGCCCCAGCCTCGCCTCCCCCCGCGGCCCCCTCCTAAGCAGCAGCCCCCCTGGATGAGAGTTATTCCCGAGTGTGGTCCGCATGGAGCAGCATAGCCAACGACATGGAAGCTGGGCAGTGGTGACAAGACTCTGCCCTCACACCCCATCACACGCAGTTGATGCTGTGGGGTGCAGGCAGAGGGCGTCACCACCAAGGCACTGCTGGGCCGCCTGGGCAATCTGCAGCAGGCAATGGAGGCGGTAAGTGGCCCTGCAGGTGGGTGGGGTGGGGACGGAGCAGGGGTGGGCTGGGGTCGGAGCGGGGTGGAGCAGGGGCGAGCTGGGGTGGTTTTGGGGCACTCAGTCTCTAAAAGGTTCGCCATCACTGACCTAGCCTATTTCAGTTAACTTCCAAAAAATGAAGGCGCTTTGGAACTTTCCCCATTACAGCCCACCCACTTACCATCTCTCAGTGCTGCAATTCCTTCCTCCCACCCACCTATCTCTCATCTGTCCTGTGCTCCACCACCCCAGCTGACCTTTACCACTGTTTTTGCTCCCACTGTTGATGAGGCAATGAGGCACGTCTCTGCTGGGCTATATGGAGTTGGATTTGCATTGTGAAAAAATGAAAAAAACAGGTTAAAAGAGTTGGAGTGTGCCAACAATACCTTTGTGTCGTGCTCTTGGGTGGTATGGGGCTGGCTTTGCATTGGGAAAAGGCAGGGGAGCACAAAGTAGCCCCTCCCTGAGCTGGAGTGGAGAAAAGGATTGTTTTGTTCTGTTCTATTCGCTTTGTGTTTCTTCCTTTTCATGACACAAAGCCAACCCCCTACAGCCCAGAAGCCAGACCAGGCACACCTCAGCAGCAGCAGGAGCACGAGGATGATGGTAGTGATGGCCAGCTGGGGCGGTGGAGCACAAGGCAGCAGGGGTCTCAAGAGTGCTGGGTGGCAAGGGGGACCAGGGCTTGGCTTGGCTGACTTCAACTTTCCAGGGCACAGCAAGCAGCTCAGAGCTGCATGGTTTTGGGCCTGCTTGCTGGTCCACAAGGTAGGATACAGGATGGCCAAAATGGCAGAGTTGAGGGGTTTAAGACAGGTGGGGGAGGAGTTGAAGGCAGTTCCTTACCTTACTGAGGCTTGGGGTAGGTAGGAGGACCAAGCCTAGAATGGCTTGCATGGAGTGGGTACTCTGCTAGCAACCACTTAATAATGGTAATGGGGATTTCTGGGAATGTGGTCACTAAACAATGCAATCATGTGATATCCATATTTCTTAAGAGACTGACATTCCAGTCCCAATTGTGGTCATAAGCTGTGGCCTACCTTAAGTTTTTTTTAATACACATACACCAATCACAGTCAACCCCTGGGTACAAACTTGTGATGAGAGTGCCAGATTTGTGAGATTTTATAAAGCTCAAATCAATCTTGTTTTGAAGATATATTCATACAAACTGGTTCTAGTTATTCTTTTACTTCATGTGACTGAACTGGATGGGAAGATTAGTTTTTCAGTTATAGGTTACATTGCTTTATGAATAAACAACATGAATCATTGTCTTTCGGCTTCCTTTTATATGTATATCCCCTAGGATCCACACATAATATTCAATGACAAAGGTATGCAAAACCTCAGATATAACTCCAATAAATTTTTTCCTCAACTATTTTTAGACCAGGCATGTCCAATCCGTGGCCCATGGGCTGCATGCAGCTCACGAGATAGTACATTTTTAATATTATATGATTTTATATTATGAAACTATATATTTTATATGTAGCCCAAGACAATTCCTTCACTCATTGCAGTCCAGGCAAGCCAAAGTGTTAAAAGACACCCATGTTTTAGATCAAAGCTTATAAGGAACTACTTATGTCATTGCAAATAAGGGTCTGATAGACAATTTAAGCATTAACTTGGTTTCCTAAGCTACTGCTTGATTTAACCATGGATTATGGAACAAACCATAGTGGCTGGATTCACACTAACCCACAACCAGCCCTAACTATCCTGGTTTAATGGATGGGCAAATCCATTCTAGAGATAATAGAATGATTTTGATTATATTGTAACTTAATCCTGACCATTCCTTTAAATCTTTAGCACTGGCTGTCTGACTATACTTCTTGGATTCTGCCTAAGTTTTAGGCAACGTTTGCCAAAGAATATCCAGCAATGCTTTGGAACCAGGAATCTACATCTATTCCAGGGGTAGTCAATCTTGGCTTTTTTATGACTCCCAGAATTCCCGAGCCAGAATAGTTGGCTCGGGAATTCTGGGAGTTGAAGTCCACGAGTCATAAAAGAGCAAAGGTTGACTACCCCGATCTATTCCAAGAAGCCTAAAAGCCGCGACCCGCCGATTTGGCGCATGCGCCTCAATGCCATCGAACGCTGGAATTAATTTATAGGAGGTGAATTTGCAGAAGAACTGAATGGGCGACCTAGTAATGAAAGGAAGTCGAGGGAAGCGAAGCAACCTGAGAACAAAACAAGTCGCCAGCTGCGTTTGCTATAGCGATGTTTCACCGCCGCCGGTTGCTGCATTTCCCTTCCGTCCCCCGCATCTCCGCCTTTTTTTCCAGCTTCCAAAATCGGAGGAAGGGGGCCGCGAGAGGCAGGTCTCGAGGCTGGCAATGAACGCTTTTGAGGAAAGCGCTTGGCCACCACCGTAGTAGCCGTAGCCGCAGCCCGACTGAGGACCGGGCCCGACCTTTCATTGCCGTCCCGCCGGTCGCAACGGGTTGCGTTGAGTGACACTGCAGCTTCTGCTGCGATGCCAGCGGCCACTGCCGCCCCCTCCCGGTTCTCCCGCCTGGCCCGGCGCAAAGCTGCCAGCCCCGCCTCCCGCGGCTGCCAGGCGATGCGAATTCCAGATGTGGACGCGAAGACCTTAAAGGACCTCTCGCCACCGTCTGCCGGGGCTTCCGGGCGTCCTTCCGCCACGAGTGCCGCGGCGGCTGCAACACCCTCCCTGCCTGGGTGGGCTCCGAGGGGAACATTCCGAGCCTGCGCCGGCATAACTGAGCCCAAAAGAAATCGGCCGTCCTCATAGGGTTGTTTTATGTTTGTTTAATCCGAGGAGGGGAAAGCAGTTCCAGGCTGGGGGGGGGGGGGTACAGACTCTCTTTTGGACCGGGAGGAAATTCCAGGCCGGCGCTTTCTTCTCCTGCCGCAGCATCAATAATTTTCATGCCTACCTTTGCTTTCGCGCGCCAGCCTTTCGCTCCCTCCGTGGACGGGGAGAGCCTTCCCTGCCCCGCTCCACAACTTCACAAGGTAAACTAGGACAACCCTAGTTCCGCAGTAAGCCTTTTGCTTTCCTACCGCTCGCGCCCCGCGTGTCTTTTACGCCCCAGCAAAACACCCGCTTGTGCTTCGCTTGGATCCGGTTTTTAAATCTCTTCCTCAATTGTGAGGGTGGCGGTGGGGTTTTTTGTTGCTGTTTTTGGACGCCGGTGGCATTTCCCCGACAGTTCATCTGCTCGCGTTGGTTGCAGCAGAGCCTTCCTGTGTGTAGCCGTGCTTTGCAGCTGCCGTTGTCTCCGGTCCGGGGAAAGGAGGGGAAGGCGGGGTGTGTAGGCTTTCTGATCGCGCGCAGGCAGCCTCCCGCCCCGGGTGCCGCAGTCTCGATAGAGACCATGCCTGTCTGGCAAAGAATATGGTGCCTCCCCGGCCCGCGTCCTCCGCCGCCCGCCTCGGCCTGCCCGGGCGCATTCATTGGTCTCCTCCCCGCAGGCTGAGCCCATCTCGGGCTCTGGATCTTCTCCGGCGAGGCGACAACGCCGCTGCTCCGGCCACTGGAGCCCAGTGAGTGCCCTCCTACTCGCCGCCGCTTATGCAACACATCATCGAAAACCATCCGGACATGGCAACGGCGCTGCTGGCTGGGGAGAAACTTAAGGAGCTGATCCTGCCGGGGCAGCAGGACGACAAGGCGGGCTCGCTGGCCGCGCTCCTCCTGCAGCTGAAGCTCGAGCTCCCTTTTGACCGCGTGGTCACCATCGGCACCGTCCTCATCCCGATTCTCCTGGTCACGCTGGTCTTCACCAAGAACTTCGCCGGTAAGGGCAGGCTGGGGAATGAGCTGGCTTTGCTGGCTTCAAGGACCGGTGGCAGGGGGAAATGCAACAGGCCGTGGGATGTAAGGACCGGGTGCAGCTTCATCTGTTGAAATTTTGCCTGCCAGCCAGCAATTGAAAGTGGTGATCCTAAGGAGAAGGTGCAGCAACAGCTCATTTAGGTCAAAACAGAAGCGGCTCTAACTGCTGCTTAACCACTATTTATACATCTCACCACTAGGCGGCAGCCAATAGAATTAAAGCAGTATTTCCCTCTTAAAGACAAGCTAATTAACATGTAGACAGTCAGTCTGGATCTTAAACAGGTACAGCCCTTTGGCCATTTCCAACAGTTTCCAAGTAAATTAACCTCAATACATAACAGAGCTGGTGCACCTACCCCTTCCCATCTGGAGTAGTGAGCATACAAGGAGGAAAACTCTACAGCTTGATCCCTTGTTACTGGAAAGCCAGTAGGATCTTGTTTTATTTGCAGTGCTCTTGCTGCAGGGTCACAGGTGGATGATGTTATATTGTCTGGATGCTCTGTAAATCAGTGAGCAAGGAAAGATGGGCACGCACAAAATCTCTTGTACAGACCCACCCCAAGTTCTTTATGAGAAGGTTCTCCCACGATTCAATTTCATTGGAATCTTGAATTCAATTTGGTCACAATCCTTGGCTTCCCAGCCCCTCATCTGTACTTCAGGAACAGTAAGGGCACCCTACTTACAAATTTGTTTTATCAAGATGACTGGCTACTTTGGTGTATTAAATGCCTTGGGCATGCATGAACATTATATTTGGATTGTCAGTAAGGATAATGGTTAGGGTAAAGTTGCAACTGAAAAGGCAAGACAAGAAAATTGTCACAAAAGTGCCAAAAAATCAACATGGTGGCCATCAAAATAGTCAAGATGATGCTTGTAAAAAAGGGAGTGGGATTTGATTAGACAGTTGTGGCTACCATCTTAACTTTTTTGATGCCCCCTGGTCATTTCTGCTGGAGGTGGAAGATAGAAGGGCAAACCAGAGGATTGTTTAGAAAAAAGTTTCTTTTTTCTGAGTTACAGGCCTCCACTTCTCCTTGGTAGGGTGTCAGCAAGCTGTCTTCCAAGCCACTTCTAGTTACTCACTTTCTTCTAAGATAATAGGGGACAAAACATATTTTATTCATGTTAAGGCTGCCTTTAGGCAATGTTGGAATAAGAAGAAGAATAATATTTAATGACAACCTATACAGTTAAGAATGGCTTATGTCTGTTTCACTCATGACTGGAGCTGAGATGAAGGTAACTTTATGATGAGACAGGCAGAAAGACAGATAGAGACAGAGAAGGAGGGAGGGAGGGAGGGAGGGAAGGAGAGAGAGAGAGGGAGAGAGATCAGTTTGTCCCATGATAGGATGCAGAGGGGGGACATGGCTAGAGTGGGAATGGCAGAGAAAACAGCTGTCATGTGCTTGTATGTGTCACACAATATGTGGTGGTGAAGATATTGGAAGGATGAGGAAGAATTCTACTCCCTAAAACAGCCATATTTATGTGTCCCTCTATTTTTAAATAAACTTTCTAAAATAGTTTTGTCAAAGGATCATATTGGCCTAGGTTGTCCATAGGAGCAGAGAGCCAAAATGAATCAAAAATAGCTGCACAAACACATGCACGTGTGCAGACGCACACATGCACGTGCATACTTTTTTAAAGACTACAAAACAGGTTCAACATAAAAAATAAATTAAGCAAGATTAAAACTTTGGACTTTTGTACAACTTCAACCTCCAGAGCCCTGCAGAACAATACCACTTTGGCAGCTTTTTGGGAAGGGCGCCCAAGGTTATTTTATTTATTTATTCGATTTTTATCTCGCCTTTATCACTGTATAAGTAACTCAAGGAGCAAACATCCCTAATACTCCTTCCTCCTCCTATTTTCCCTACAGCAACAACCCTTTGAGGTGAGTTGGGCTGAAGGAGATGATGACTGGCCCAAAGTACCCAGCTGGCTTTCATGCTAAGGCCAGATGAGAACTCACAGGAGGTTGGTGTTAGTCTGACCTCTGAAGGAAGCTAGTGCATGATAGCCCTTGTGTTCTACATGAGCTAAAAGAAATGATGTATGATGTGCCGACTAAATAGTCATTGGTTCTATTGTTCATTTCATTTCTTGTTATATTTCCAACTCCTTGGTGTCTTGGATTTGGTCTTTTAGAATGCTAGTCTAATGCTCTTCATTTATCTGTTTTTATATACATAGAAAACCCATAAGGGTGAGAAGGAAATTTTATTTTACTGTATATGTATAGCAGTTTTGGCAAGGTAGACAGCTAAACAGCTCCTCCGTTGCCCACTTGGAGTGATGGAAACTCTTTCTTTAAGATCTGATTTAGCACAGTGATGTAGTTGTTGTTTTCATGAAGGCTGCGGTATTTATAATTGGCCTGCTGTTGACATTTGTAAGATTGCTGGAAGTGCCTTCTTGCATGGCCAAAGGAATCTATCCCCAACCAGGCTCCTTTCCAGATGTGTGAGAACTGCAGTGCTCAGCATTCCCCAGCAAGAAAAGTCTTTGACTGGGAATTCTGACAATTCTCACACCGGGAATTCAAAGTACTAGAAGATGTCTGGTTTGGAAAGACTGCTTAATGGCATTCAAGGATGTTTTCAGTTTTGACTTGGCAAGAGATAAATAGATAATTGCCCAGATATTCTGATCCTTTTCAATTGTAATACAGTAGTAGGTCTACAGCAGTAGAAGAAACTGCCCTTATATCTTGAACAGAAGATATGGCCATGTATTAGTCTGTTGTTCCAGGCATCTGGCATGGTTTCTTTTCCAAGAGGAATAGACATGTTTACTTGTAGTATCCTAAAGAAAAATACACATAAAAGGTTATGATATGAATGAGAAATTGAGTGCTGGTATGAGCTGCTTTTTCTTTGAAGTCATTACTATATAGCAGTGTCTGCTCTAACTGTATCTTCCATGTACAATTTCCCTTGGAGATTGACATAAGGCCAGCAGAAGGATAATATGTGTGGTCTGTTAGATAAATGAGAAGTATCTAATTCCATACTGACTTTTTCATATTGAATTGGTTGTATGAAAGCTCAGAGAAACCAGAAATTCTATGTGCGGTGAACCCAAACTTTCTTTTTAAAAAATGATTTATAAGAACATTCTAAATAAATGTTACATAAACCAGTATGAGGCATTTAAATACTTGATGATTTTAGCTTGATTGACCTCTTTGTTTTATCTATTTCACAGCCCTTAGAAAATAAATCATATTGGCTGTTGAAATCTACCTAACCACTAAGTGTTTAGATTTTTACTTGAAGCCATTTAGTTTAGTAACTTTAACTTACTGGAGTATGTTTATTGGGCTGTATAATAGCCAGCAGTATGTTCTAGGGCAGACATGTCAAACTTGCGACGTCACGTGATGTCGCGCAACGTATCGGAGCTTTTCCCCCATTGCCGGCAATGGGGTGGGCGCGGTTTCATCATGACACGTCCAGCAGTTTGACACCCCTGTTCTAGGGCTAATTTCTGTTGGTGTGAATAGAACATAGAATCATGGGGTTGGAAGAGACCTTTGAAGTCTTCTGTTCCAACCCCGTGCCCAAGTCAGGAGATTTTATACAATCCCAGTCAAATAGCTGTACAGTGTACTCTTGGAAACCTCCAGTGATGGAGCACCCACAACTCTGGGAGTCAAGCTGTTCCATTGATTAATTGTTCTCTGTCAGAAAAATTCTTATTTCTAGATTCAATCTCTCTTTAACAAGCTTCCAGCCATTATTTCTTGTCCTGTCCCTGGTGCTTTGAATAATAAGTTAATCCCCTTTTTTCTGTGACAGATCTTCAAGTACTAGAAGATAATTATCATGCCCTTCCCTCCAAACCTTCTCTTTGATAGCCTAGGCACACCCAGTTCCCTCACCCATTCATGATACAATTTAGCCTCCAAACCCTTTATCATCTTTGTTGCTGTTTGCACATTTTCTAGGGTCTCAGCATCTTTTTTGTATCATGGTGACTAGAACTATACACAGCATTTCAAGCACAGCCTCACTAGTGCAGTACAAAGAGGTATCATCATGTCTCATGACCTTGATGTTATCCCCCTGAGTTGCATCAACAGAGGAATAACATCAAGATTCCAAGAAGTGATATACTGTACTAGTGAGGCCATACTTGGAATACTGCATACAATTCTGATCACCATGATACAAAAAAGATGCTGAGTTTAAAAACATTTATATGAACTGGAAAAGGTGCACATCTTATGACAGTAGTAGCGTTTAGTGGTGGCACAGTGGTTACAATACAGTATTGCAGGCTATCTCTGCTCACTGCCAGGAGTTTGATCAGGTTGACTCAGCCTTCCATCCTTCCAAGGTCGATAAAATGAAGACCCAGATTGTTGGGGTCAATATGCTGACTCTGTAATCCACTTAGAGAGGGCTGTAAAGCACTGTGAAGTGGTATATAAGTCTAAGTGCTATTGCTATTATTTCAAAAACAGATGCCTATTTCCATATTATATTCTTGAAATTGGTATTTTTTATTTTTGTGAATTTCTCAGGGGGTTCTCTAGGTTAATGTAATCAGTTCACATCTGATCAAACAAAATTTCTGTGTGAAAAGAACATTATCTATAGACATTATGGGGGCCACAGTGGCTAGGACGTTGAGTCAGAAGACCATTGAGAGGTCTACAGTTCAGCAGTTCCAAACCCAAGAGCATGAGCCACGTGACTGAATGTGTTCCCACCAATTTGTCCCAGCTCCTGCTCACTTAATAATTAATCAATCAATCAAAATAGAGCTGGAAGGAACCTTGGAGGTCTTCTAGTTCAACCACTGCTCAAGCGGGAGACCCTCTACCATTTCAGACAGTTTGCGAATGTAAATAGATAAATAGGTACCATTTTAGTGGGGAAATACTAGGGACATGAAAGGAGCCCACTCAGGCATCCCCCTGGGCAATGGTGATGT